TTGGGTATAATATTCTATAAATGTCAATTAGGTCCACATGTTTGATAATTGATAATGTTATTCAAGTTCTCGATATCTTTAATTTTTATCTTCTTGTTCTAGCAACAACTGAGAGAAAATTGATAAAATTTCTAACAATAATTGTGGATTTGTCTGCTTCTTACTTTAGTTCTGCTATTTTTTTCCTTGGATTTTGAAATTCTACTTTGTTATACCCTATTAAGATTATGTCTTGTTATAAATTGGCTTTTCTCAATAAAATGACCATTTTTATATGTGTTAGTAAAAAAAGTGATCTGCTGAATTCTAGCAAAATGTATTGTCCTCAAGGTTTCTAACTTGCTCTTCAGCAATGTCCTTTCTGCTATATAGCAATGTATTTTTTAAACTGATGTTTTACTTCCATTACATAGAATTACTTTTAACAAATGCAGTATTTTCATCTTTCTGAGAATATATTCCATCTTCCTGAGAATATCTTAATTCTTTTCCTTAGTACACACTATTATCTTTGTTGAGTTTTGTGTTTCTGATTCATAGTCATGACTTTCCTCCAATGTTGGGTGATACTCTCTTACATACTCATTTTAGTAGTGAAATTTCCTTATCAGCCTTCCGTTTATTCCACAATGTGCTTGTAGAAGAAATGGGACAGGCCAGGAATGGTGGTTCACACCTGTAATCGCAGCACTTTGGGAGGCCAAGGTGGGCAGATCACGAGATCAACAGATTGAAGACCATTCTGGCCAAGATGGTGAAACCACATCTCTACTAAAAATACAAAAAAAAAAAAACAACAACATAGCTGGGCGTGAGTTCACATCTATAGTCCCAGCTACTCAAGAGGCTGAGGCAGGAGAATCGCTTGAACCCAGGAGGCAAAGGTTGCAGTAAAGTAAGATTGCACCACTGCACTCCAGCCTGGCAACAGAGCAAGACAGACAGACAGACAGAAAGAAAGAGAGAGAAAGAAAAGAAGGAAGAAAGAAAAAGGAAAGAAAGAAAGAAAAAGAAAGGAAAGAGGGAAGAAAGAAGAAAGAAGAAAGAAAAAAGAAAGGAAAGAAGAAAGAAAAAGAAAAAAGAAAGAAAGAGAAAGAAAAAAAGAAAGAAAGAAAGAAAAAAAGAAAGAAAGAAGAAAGAGAAAGAAAAGGAGAGAAAGAAAGGGAAAGAAAGAAAGAAGGAAAAGAAAAGAAAAGAAAGAAAGGAGGGAGGGAGGGAGGGAGGGACAGTCTGCTTGGCTTGGGAAACCGTTAATCCTCTTTAAGTGTAAAGGAAATGGAAGGACAAATTTCTAGTCAGATGTGCCAGTAGCTAATGACCGGGGAACAAAGGATCCCTTTTCCTCTAGGTGTTACCAATTCTGAAAACTTTGCTGTTTCTCCAATTCAAATGTCCTTCTTCTCTTCTCTGACTTGGGAGAATCTCTTTATTGTTATCTTCCTGAATCAAGGACAGAGCAGTTTATACAGGAGTCAAAATGCCAAGGATACCACGCAATGCATGTAACAAACTCTTCCTGGTTCTGAGCACCCTCCTAGCCATCTTCCTTTTTCAACAACGCCCTTCATCATGTACTTTCAATTGATTTGTTCTTCATTCATATACTGTTTGTCTCCCTTCTTTCCAAAATTCATCATAACTGCTGGCCTAGGGAGCGCATTATTTCTTACGGTCTAGTAGGATTATGGATTTATTTATTGAAATACTTTTAAAATTATTTTAAAGGCTTGAGGCAAGAGGAAACTGCAGCAGGTATTCATCCTGCCATTTTGAAATGAAGGTTTGTTTTCTCAGTGAGATGAAAAACAAATACAAAGAATTAAATAGTTGCAGTGATTTTGTTGGTAAAATCTGTTCAAATGTGAATATCAGACCAAGGTCTTTTTTCCCCACAATCACCATCTGTGACTGGCCATGAGAAAGCCTGTGGTAATCTGGATGATGTAAAAAGGACAGAACTTCATAGTATTTAACTGTGCAGCTAGAATCTCTTTATCTAATAGTGACAGACCCCTCAGCCCTGATGTGATTTTTCTTCTCCAGCCTAATAGTATAAAACTGCTCCAGACCAGGGGGTCTGGGCTCCTACGTATTGGAAGACTTGCTCTTATTCCTCATTCACTGTCAAGACCATTGAACTTTAAGGCAGCAATAAGAAACTTACAACAACTCAGCAATATAGATGTTATCTCTATACAGCATGTGAGAATACAGTCTCAGTGAAGTTAAATTGCTCAAACTCACAAAGCTAATTATAAAGTCAAATGCTGAACTTGCTGGTCCAAATTCTGCCTCTCTAAAGTCAAATGTTCTTTATTCAGTCCCTTCCAAAGGGAACCAGAATGCCGCTCCATCTCCTTGTATCCCATGTTAAAGTTTAAGAAATATGGAGGTTCCAGACAGAACCAATGGAACTCTTCACTTTATCATACACACACACTCTCTGTCTCTCTCTGTGTCTCTCTCTCTGTGTCTCTCTCTCTCTGTCTCTCTCTCCCCTTTTCCTCTCCCTCTCTTCCTCTCTCCCTTTCTCTGATAAGAATCCTAGCTGGGCACAGTAGCTCTCATGTGTAATCCCAGCACTTTGGGAGGTCAGTTTAAATATAATTCTAAAGCTGGTATTATAATAAATTATTTTCATAAAAATATTCATAGGATCACTTGAGCCCAGGAGTTCAAGACCAGCCTGAGCAACAGAGACCCCATGTCTATAAAAAATAAAACAATTAGCCGGGTATGGTGGTTCTTGCCGGTGGTCCCAGCTACTCAGGAGGCTGAAGTGGGAGTATCACTTACACTTGAGAGGTTCTGGCTGCAGTGAGCCGTGATCATGCCATTGCACTCCAGCCTAGGCAACAGAGATAGAGCTTGTCTCAAAAAAAAAAAAAAAAAAGACAAAAAATCCCACTTAATACAGCATACTTTTAAGATAGCTCCAGCCCAATGTGATAACTCTTTTGTAACTTCAACTTCAACTTTTTGTAACTTCAATTTTATAATTCCCACCAAAAAAATCTTCATCATGTAAGAGGTTGAACCATATGAAATTAGTTTTAACAATCCAAAAGTGTCAAACATTGGCAATTTCCTATGGTTCAACCTGATATACTGTCTTAATTATTTAACAGGCTGGGCAATTTTTATACTTTAGAAGGAACAGAATTAGGTGAAACTCTTGTCTCTCCCAAAATACAAAAAACTAGCTGAGTGTGGTGGTGTGTGCCTGTTGTCCCAGCTACTCAGGAGGCTGAGGCAGGGGAATCGCTTGAACCTGGGAGGTGGAGGTTGCAGTGAGCTGAGCTCATGCCACTGCACTCTAGCCTGGTGACAGCACAAGACTCTGTCTCAAAAAACAAAAAAAGAATTAAATATGTATATTAGTGTATGAATTCCTCATATTAGTGCCCTCAGCTTTGTTGAGGGTCTACCTTGGTAAGCCAGCTTGAGGTAGGCAGATCCTTTCCAGAATTAGATTAAAGTGTTTCTACTGGAGAAATCAGTTTGCCCCTGATGTAGAGGTAGAATGAGGCAAGGAGAAGCTTACCACAGAGTGCAAATTCTGGGAATTTGTAGAAATCATTTGGACACTGCTTACTCAGATCAAGACACTAGATGTTTGAGGTAATCCTGTCTTGATCTCAAGGATCAAAAAGCTCCAGGTAGCATCTCAGATACTGCTCTTCCATGTATTTCTTGAGAGTAGTCCACACTATGAGTAAAGAACCAAAGCTGTGTTTACTCACATGGCAGTGATAAGCATTCATTAAACATTCATTGACCTAAGGAACAGTCACCCCAATTAGTCTGTCACTATTTTACTGGATATTATGTAAGATGATCTGAATTTCCTACAGTGCCATAAGCATGTGTTTGAAACTTGAAAGGCATTCATTTAAAAGCTCAGATTCTGATTGTCAATCAGCTTGAAGGCTGGTAAAAATATTCTGCCAAGATAGGTATATTAACCTTTGTCCCAGGTAAGATAAGATCATAAACTAATAACCTGGTCACCTAAGAGAACAGTGCCACTCATTTTGACTGATAAAGTATTAGGCAATAGCAAGATTCAGGCACTGAGCTGTCCATCTTCTCTGTCATTTAAAGTTGAGGCTAATACTAAGTGTAGAAAGCCTTATTCCACAATCTCATTAGTGACATCCAAGAAGTATGTGAATTCTCAGAGCATATTTGTGTGTGTGTTTTCCTGTTTATCTTAGTCACATGTATCAATTATACCTTTCTCAATAATGTATAAGTTTCTTAGATAAAGAGGCCAAGTTTTCCATTTGTTATTTCCCCTCCAAAATATTTCCTTCTAATGACTAATGTTTAAAAAAATAAGTTGATAATAATTGAATTGTTTAATTTTAATCTATATAAATTAAAAGACTAAGAGGATTTTATTTTATTTTATTTTATTTTATTTTTTTTTTTTTTTGAGACGGAGTTTCACTCTTGTTACCCAGGTTGGAGTGCAATGGCGCAATCTCGGCTCACCGCAACCTCCGCCTCCTGGGTTCAGGCAATTCTCCTGCCTCAGCCTCCTGAGTAGCTGGGATTACAGACACACACCACCATGCCCAGCTAATTTTTTGTATTTTTAGTAGAGACGGGGTTTCACCATGTTGACCAGGATGGTCTCGATCTCTTGACCTCGTGATCCACCCGCCTCGGCCTCCCAAAGTGCTGGGATTACAGGCTTGAGCCACCGCGCCCGGCCAGACTAAGAGGATTTTATAACAGAAACATTTTAAAATATTTAAAATACCATTTGAAAGCTTTAACTACATCATAATAGACAATGGTGCAAGTTGAGGAATATCTGAATATTTAATCCCTCATTATGAGCATATTTTAAAACATGCCTTTGGTTTATGTTTAAGATAATGAATCATCTGTATTACTATTATCACCACCATCACACAGGAGCATTAGGACATGTAATGACTATTACAAATGGACTCAATTTAGGAAAGACATTTTAAAGAAGACAAAAACACTGTGAGATTAAATAATTTATTACCATTGCTAAGATGAACACATATACTTAATACTCAATTTTATGCAGAACTTTAAAAAAATAGTTTTAATACAGTATCAAAATTTACACAAGTTTATTTTGTCAAAAGACCAGTGTCCCTTGTATTAGCTTCTGCAAGCTCTGCTGCAGGCACAAAAGCTTATTTTAAATGTCTTCAGAGTGTAGGAATACAACAATTTAAGGATGAAAGCTTTCCTAGGAAAGAAGGTGTAAATATAGCAAGCAATTTTCTTTTATAGAGTAATAATATTTTAAAATATAACATTTTAAAAGGGAAGCTTAAATTGTAACCCAATTATGATAATTAAAGGGATAATTCTACAGTAAATTAATTCATAAATATTTTCTGAAAATAGAGGGATGATTTTTCATCACAGTAACAATTTTGAAACTGTAACAAAATTCCTTCACATTCTCCTATTAGTGACAATTAATTCATTAGGTAATGAGCCCATTTAAAACAACAACAGAGAATATCTGCTATGAATCAAATCTCAGAAATTTAGAACCTATCCGAAAACTGGGAATTGTTGCATTCCTACTTTTATAATGTTAAACTACCATAAAAACGTAGCATTCGGTCACAGGCCTCTTGCACATTCATACAAGAAACTATCATTGCATTTGAATAAACACAAAATACCTATCATAGCATTTCCAGTACACACATTCTAATATTATATATATGTATATGTATACCAAAAATAAGAAATAAACTAAGCAAAGCTAGCACACCTCTTTTTCAAACCTCAAGCAATCTGAACAAGAGCTTTTAGCCTCAATAATGAAGGACATGCGTCAGTATCATAAAATGTTAGATAGCTGCAATACGCAAAGAAAGCTTTTTTCATAAATGCAGTGCAATATTTTAAAGTTTACATAAAGTTTATTAAATATACAGCATGTCTAGAAACTAATTTGTAGAAATTGACATCTCACAGCTCGAAACACCTAGAAAAATTATGTTTGCTTGTTTTTTAGTTGAAATTGTTAATATTAACATCAATGGATACACTGAATGAATATGAAGGTTGGTATGCCCCAAGATGTGTCTTTATGAGAAACTCATTAAGATGAAAAAAACCACACGTTTATAATGATCAATTGAAATAAATGGTACCCTCTGATAAGCACTCTACAAAGTCTTGCTATCCTAGCTGGTAGGGAGAATTTACGTGGTATTTTTTTAGCACCTCGGAAGTCAAAACAAAACTCCAGAAACTTAGTCTTATCTTGCATCTAAATTAATGATGCCTCAGGAATTCGTATTTGGTTTGTCAACTAAAGTATTAAGAGGTAGATGCCCAATTCTCAAACTTGGGAAGCTGGAAAATACCTCTTCATATCTTCAATATGACATGGTAGAAAACTCCCACCATTAGGTGCAATGAGTCAGCTCTATCCAAACCACTGAGGCTCCACTGAACTCTTAAAACTGTGCAGGTTTCCCAATTACAGTATTAGATCTGGGGAGTTAAAAACACTTAGTTCTAATGAAAACACTGGTACCAAAATGGTGATTTTTCAAAGCTACTCTGTTTCAGATTTTCAAAGCTACCTTGTTTGAGATTGACTGTTGTGGACATTGAGGTGAGGGACACAGAACATCAGCTTGAGGGGGAAGCTGTACTACAGGTTTTAGAGGGAAGATATGTGCAATGTACAATCACTCTATGTTTTTCCATGAGTCCAGGTTTGTGGAAACCGACTCTTTCCTTTTTCTTCTTCTTGTCATCTGTCTTTTTCTGGCAGTGGTGATCTCCTGTTTGAAAAAGAACGCATCTCACATTGGTCCTTTGTACTGGTTTCCTGACAAATGTTGCCTAATTCCAGGACACGAACCTGCAGCATCTCCAAGTTTCCTCCACACAACCTTAAAAAAAAAGAAGGAGTAGTGAGTATCTTATCTTTCCTCTTCTACAAGGAGATTTGTGGTTTTTAATGGGAAATTAAGAGAGAAGCAAAGATGAAGTAAAGACAAGAGACAAAATATCCACATGAATGAGTTTAAACACAAAATAAAATGTGATGACAAGCTTCTTAAAACACAAGAACTACTTAGCAGTTGGGACTACTACTCCTTGTTAGTAACCAGGGTCAAAATTTTAAAATGACGTAACTTACTCTAGATAAGAAACGGTCCCCAACTCTGACTGCACACTAAGCACTTGAGGAACTCTTAAACAGTAACCCCCATCCTCTAAGATTCTGATTTCACTGGGATAAGTGGAGGCATGGACAACTGCATGCATTTTTTAAAAAGTTCTCAAAGTAACTCTAATATGTAGCCAGAATTAAGAACACCTTAACAAGATCATCCTTGCTCCTATATCATACAGCCATAACAAAGGATATCAGTGTTTAATGCGCTGAGGAAAATAAAGGAGCTTTTGTTATTGAACTATTTAAGTCCTGAAGTGGTAGTCTTAGGGCTACTAGTGAATTTCTCTGGCTTTTTCTACAGAGTGGGGCCATCAGTTGTCACAAATTAGCTACCAAGCAATATGATCTCTTGGATTTACAAAACAGAAAGCATCCAAATGTAGGAAAATGATAAGAATAAATTCAAGGATCACTGAAAGAGATACAATTACAATATGTTAGAAGCTGGGCCACAAAGAGGGACAAAAGGTGCAATCAAGAAAAATGTAAGCATAAAAGTAAAACTACTGAATTCACCAATAATATATCAATACACTAACAGTGACTGTAATACACATATATGCACATGCATGTATGTGCACATGTGCAATAACAGCCACAACCCTCCCAGACTATTTCAAGGATTATGATTAGATTGATTGATTGCACAAAACTTTATAATACTCTAACATGAACACAAAACTAGTTTGTTAATTATTCATAAACTATTTCTTTTGTTTGGTTTCATTTTTGCTTTTAAATAGAAGCAGATAAACCAGTATCAGGGAAACCCAGTATCATTCATATTAATACACAATATAGGGCTCTGTTTACCTTCGTCTCTAAGCTAAAGGAACTATTAATCTCAATGTATCAGCATATACCATTCTATGGCATAAATATCATGTTGTACTCAAAAGGAGTTGAAGTTAGGGTTCTTAAATATCTGGAAAGGAATTATTAATATATAGCAATGGATGGCTCAAGCTATACACAAGAGGGTTAGGAAAGTCTCATTTCTTAATTAATTGACAAGACATAAACATTGAATCAAGGAGACAAAGGATGCTACAGACTTTCTTTTCCTAGCTCTTAAATAGAATTACATCTAGAAAGTTCTGAATGTGGTTTAGAAGCAGAGGATAGACTGACGGACTTTACAAGGATCATAGACAATAGCATTAGATGGTTACAACTGAAAAGTGCAACTTCTCTTCAAATATTGAAACGTATAACATAATGAGCTTAACCCAGATATAACTATGTGGTGAAAGGAAACTCTTAAAGAAGGCAGAACTTTGAAATAAACCAACAATACTAAGGTTGACACAGGAGTAGTGAATTATTCACTAAAATGGAGTAACAGGTGTGTGTTTGAGAATGCGGAGATGACTAATTAAGTATTTCAGCTGTCCTCAGGGAATTTATAAGAGCAAAACAGAAAAATCTAAAATAAAACAATTACTACAAAAAGACAGATTTGCTATTTCTTAGGGGGCATATATTTATTTCTGTAGCACAGTTTGGGACTAGAATAACTCACTACATACTAACCCACATGATGGTAATATGAATAATAATCCTCATTGTGTAGATATCAAAAATATTTTATCTCTAGAAGCAATACTAGAAACTACAGCAAAACTTCTATTGTCCCAAGTTCTTTTTGAGACTTATAACCCATCACATGTCATGAGGAGGCTTTATTTTTCTGTGACATTATTATAAAGGCATATAATTTCTCTACTAGAAACCAAGCCTTCATAATCTTCCCTTATCTATGAAACTGCTTTACAATCTGCATTTTTATTTATTCTGTGGCATTTACTATGTGTTTTTGATCATATAATTTATAATGGTGACAATATTATTTTTAATTATTTCCAAATATATAAAGTGGCTTAAGAATCAGAATTGGATTTGTTTGCATTTTATCCTCCAATTCTGGGGATCAAAGACAACAGTAGACAGAAAATGTACTGCTAGAGAACTTTTAAGGGTAAACAAGGAGGCCAAGCTTTTGCCTTTCTGTAAGTATCTTATATAGCAAAAAATAAAAATAACAACACTGTATGGTGCCTTTCAATTCATTTTTGAAAATGCAGGTAAACAAAAAGGTCAACATAAAACTAATCAAAATCCAATCCAGTAATGGGTCTCTATTGAGACTCAAATATGAATTTTCTAATGTCCAGAAATCGAAAGGAAGGAAAGGGAAAGGGAAAGAAATAATCCTAGATGGGTTTTTTTTTCTTTTCTTTTTCACAGAAATTCTGGTATTAAGCACTGTGGAGATGGCCCCCTTTATAAAATGCGGTGCTTTTCATTCTTTAGGAAAGAAATGGAAGTCCCCAGATTTACCACACTTCGGGAAGTGGAAAGAAGTGGTCCTCAAAGGAAATTTTGGTCTACTCCTGACTTCACTATTCATTAGAAAATAGCTTGAGCAAGTAATTTCTGGATCTTAGTTTCTTCAAACATAGAATTACAGTGTTCGGGTTCTTACCCAGGGGTTCATATCTGAATTGCCTGAGGTCTGATGTTAAACTCAGACATCTGAACTATGAAGGAGGTCCACATACTATTCTTTGGACAAACACCGGAGAATGACCTCTGGCCCCTTCTAGTTAGATAGTTTTTATTATCCGAGATTTCTCTCTCATTCCATAGCCAACAGATGGGCAGCAACAAGCGTTCCTAGGTATGTGGCTCACTTTTAAAAATTTATCTGAGGGAAATATTCAAATTGAAAATCTTAAGCACAAGTTGAAAAGCTACAGAAGGTGAATGGTGCATTTAGGAAACATGACATCTAGAACTAGTGACCTTTTGAAAACGGACAACAGATATGCAGGGGGAAAAAAATACAAATAAATAAGAAAGGGTTGGAAGAGAAAAATTAGCCACAACACAGGCAAGCAAGAGACCAAAATCTCATTCCAGCACATAAAAAAATGCCCGGGGGACTTATGTAACATTTACTGGATTCCAGAAACATCTCGAGGAGGTAGATGAGTAAGTGAGAATATCTGGTCCTAATTGATCTAAAGCTGAAGGGTATTTCCTGGCAATTTTCACATCCTGATAGGATAAAGAATATAAGGATAAAAGTATAATGTAAAGCCAATTAAAATCAGTGTTTAACATGATCAGTGCTTAACCATGATTTCTTGCATTTAACAGTGGCTTCCTCTACAATATTCATTTAGCTATTTAAAGCTTCACAATTTATATTCTTGATTAAATGATACACCTCATGAATATTACTCAAAATATTAAAATTTTGTCAGGGATTAATAGTAAAATCCAAGCCATATTAATGATTGTGTTGAATACGCATCATGAAAATAA